ATTATTTAAAAAATCCTCCTTGACAGGCCAGGGCTTAGCCAAAATGTAAATGACATTAAAGAAGACAATGAATTTAATTTTATTTAATGTCCCTTTTTGCAGATCCTCATTTACATAGCATTTTTAACAAAAGCGTTGACCTTATAAATGCTGGCATTTGTACAGCTTCTGCAGAGTTGGATTTAATCATGCTTTCGCAAAGCCATAAGGGAAAAAGCTTTAAGTTCTCTGGTTGGATATGGAGTAGGAATAAAAACATTGGGACTGGTCAAATGTTTATCCTCCTTGCTTCTGAAAACAACCTGACAAGAAGATGTAAAGGTCTAGGGAATAACCCATTGCTGTTTGTAAGGCTTGGTAATAATCATACATAATCGTTTGGAAATATAGCTAATAAAAAATATAATGAGTGTTCAGCAAAATCGGCATTAGGCCCAAATTACATGATATTAATACTTGAACAGGTGCAGAAAGGCGCTTTAAATGAGGTAAATGAATAAAATGTCCCAGAGCACAACTGTGTGCACTGACAAAAAGTCAATCACATGAATAATTCAGCGGCCGGGACTGCCAGCAAAGGTCAGCGGCTCTCACCTTTGTGACGGGAAGTGAAAGGAAACGCTGCTGACGAAAAAAAAAACCCCCTCGCCCTCCAGCCGCCGCCACCACCCCGCCGAAGGTGTAAACTTGGAGTAGGGAGGAATTAAAGCGCTGCACCGGCGAGCCGGCAGCAAAAATAAATAAATAAATAGATAAATAAATAAATAAATAAATAAATAAATAAATGAAATAATTACATTAAAAAAAAAAAAACAGCTTGAACAGGCAAGTTGTTTAGGGAAAATAATCTGAAATTACAGCCAGGGAAAGGTTAAGGGGGGTGGCTACCAGCAATGTCAATTATCTCCCAAATCTGAGGTCAGGCAAAAGGTATTTTAAGAGCCTACGGGATTGAAATTTTGTAACAGCTGTTAAATATGACAAAACTTTTTATTCCCCCAAACTAGAGCTATTCCAAACTCCGTACGAAAGAAATGGGATAAGCAGATGTCTGGCTTCCATACAGGAAAGTAGGACACACTTGGAATGATAAGTCTCCTGAACTCTATAGAATAATGCCAGGTTTACCGGGGAGGGGGGCATTTACTGCCCACGGAGATGCCAGCGAGCTGTAGGGCTGTGATGGTGCCATCTGGAAAGGCTCTGCCGAGCAGGCTCTGCCCGTGCTCTGCCAGCACTGCCGGCACCCAGCGGCACCGGCACCCAGCACCATCGGCACCCAGCGGCACCGGCGCCCAGCACCACTGGCACCCAGCAGCACCGGCACCCAGCGCCACCGGCACCCAGCACCATCGGCACCCAGCGCCACCGGCACCCAGCAGCACCGGCGCCCAGCAGCACCAGCACCCAGCACCACCGGCACCCAGCGCCACCGGCACCCGGCGGCACTGGCACCAGCACCCAGCACCACCGGCACCCAGCGCCACCGGCACCCGGCGGCACTGGCACCAGCACCCAGCACCACCGGCACCCAATGCCATCGGCACCCAGCACCACCGGCCGCACCTCGGGGACACCCCCAGCACCAGCGAGAGGCCAAGGGCCGGGCTCCCAGCAGGAATTTCCATCCCTCCCCAGCCAAATATCTGCTGGTGGCACAGAGGAATGGCTCTAGCCCAGAGTGTGGTTTTGGTTTAGCAGTTCCAGCGGCATCCTGTAATCATTTACAGCCCTTGGAATGTATGGGTGAAATAGGAGAGATTTATCTGTTCATAGTTGTGATATGTAGACAATGGGTGTTCCTAATGAGGAACATCTGCTTTTGTGTTTTCCCAGAAAACATTATTCCACTATGAAAATGATACTCCCATCCTTTTCAGCAACACCGCAAAGAAAATATGGGCCTTTTCCTTTCTTTTATTTGCTTTTCTTTGGGTCAATCTAATTTCCCAGGGACACTTTTTCTGTGGCATCTTTTTACTGACTGCGCTGCAATTTACGGTGGGTTTGTTCTTTAACACGTGAGGTACTGTGCTGGAGGAACGGCCCCGAAATGCCAGCAGATACTCAAATGTGTACAGTAATAAAAGCCTCCCTGCTCAGCCGTGCTCCGTGAGAAACATCCAGGCGACGTAAATAAAAATTCCCACTGAATTAAAAGGTCGCGGAGGCTCCTGACACCAAAAACCGCTTCCAAGGCCTCGGCTTTGGCTTTTACATTTCCAGCCCACTGCAGGATTCAAACATAGAGTTACACAAGTTTGTTTAAATGATCAGCACTGCTAATAAATTATTACTCCTGAAGTGCATAAGGGTTTTATTTTTCCTTCTGTTTTTCGGTTTTTTTTAATCCCAGTGCATAAACAATTCCAACTATCACGGAGTCTCCCAGTGTGGGCTGGAAGAAATGGGTGGCCATAGATCTCAATTCAGGATTGAATTATTGGTTCATATCCTGAGGACAAATATGCCTTATCTGGTCAAAAGCTGCTAAATGTATCCAAAGGACAAAAGGATCTAGCGAAGCATATTGGATATAATTCTCTCTTTTATTTTTAAAGCCAACTACCCAAGCAGCTCCACTTCCTATGGGAAACTGTAAATTGACCCCCAAATGTGATGGGGAAAGGTTGTTCCGTGATGCTCAAGAGAGAAATGCAAGCCTGAAATCCAACCCTGACAACAAATTTAGGCACCAGACTCCGAGCACATGGGTCGAGCGAACGTAAATATCGGGGATTTCAAATCCACCTCGGTGCTTCCAGAGGGCTGGAACCCCTCCTCCAGAGCTTCCTCCCGGCCACGCTTCCCTCCTAGGCTTGCTGCAATTTGCTGGGAGCAAACATCACATCCCAGAGTCCTCCAAAAACCCGGCTGGAGAGGCCACTCCGGCCTCCGCCGGGCTCCAGATTCTCTGCCATGAGAAGTGACAACTCTCTTTAGGAGGCTAAAATCCATGCCAGCCCCATAAAGCCCAAATCTTGAAAATTCCTAATGCAGAAGGTGATTAACATTGCCATAAAATTGTCCTATCTTTAAATTTAGAAGCACAGCAGATTTTTCATCAATAATTAAGATCACTAAAGCATTTATGCTAGGCATAAATGGAGTTTCAATCTTCCTTATTCAAATAAACATGATAAACCCATTAACCAAATGTTTTCTGATTTTTTTTATCTCTTCTCATGCTGCTGGAATATCAAATGATCCCACAGTTCTGATTGGGGGAGGTATAAAAGCACTGGTGTTGGGGAGCTTGGCTCAGTTTTGCCAGGATAACCCTTCACACGACTGACACAAATTATCTCACAGCAACTCCAGGATGTTATTATGGAAATATCATCAGAATCCCTAAAAAGGTGATGTTCTGCCACGTTCTGGCACGTGCAAGGACTACAAACATCAACTCCTCGTGCATTTTGCAGTGGACACTCCAGAGGCATGAAAGGCTCCACAGCTCTGAATCAGAGTCCGACCAAGCACAGAAAAGCAAAATATTATTCTAATTTTCATTCCTGGTTAATTTTCCTCGCGTTCTGCTGCAGTCACACTTTAATGCAATTCACCATTTACATCTGCAAAAGTCACACATCTCTCCAAAAAGAACTCTGCACAATGAACATGCCCGTAATCCAATAATAAAAGCTGTAACACGCTGCCTTGCATTTACTACGCCGCCAAGATTCCTCCACTTCCAACTATTTTTTAGCCAATAAAGCAGAAATAAATCCAGCTCGCGAGGCAACAACCCAGCACGATATGATTTCCATAGCTAAAACACTAAAGACAAATATAATTATATTGATTTTTTTGTACTTGGACTTCTATAAAGTGGTGAACTTGTTCTCAATTGCCTGACACAATCCCAGAGTGATGGCAACAACTGGTCAGCCCTATTTGATTACTAATAAGAGAGATGTCCCTTCTGTCAGATACCTCACATTCCCCACTAAGCAAACAGCTATTTCAGCTAGTTA